CGCTCGAAATATGCACGAAAACCTGTTAAAAGTTGCTCTCATTTCTTGTAAATATTAATTACAATTTAAAATAATACGTTTCAAAAAGATTTTGAAAAGTTTTTGGATCGAAATTTTGAATCAACCTGCCAAAAATTCACTACTAAATGTATGCAGTACGTATACAACATAACACATCGCTTGTTTGCTACAACAACGACATAAAATAAAAATCGTCATTTTTGAGTTGTTTGCAAATAATAATAAAATTGGTGTTTATTTTTATACTGTTAGTGAATACATAAGTATTACATTATACATAAGTGAACATACAAAATTAGCCGCTAAATGGCAGTTGTGACGTTATTGCGTTATCATTGGTTATCCATGTAAATTAAATTGTCTAATTCAATTTGTGTAAAATCATGTTTTTTTGTGTTATGTCGTTGTTGTAGCAAACAAGTGACATGTAAATAATATTAAAGCATAATCATTATAGTTTTGTGATGAAATAAGTAAAATAAACTCAAATCTTTCACCAACGACCATACCACGTTGAATACACCAGTTCTCGTCCGATCACTGAAGTTAAGCAACGTCGGGCGTAGTTAGTACTTGGATGGGTGACCGCTTGGGAACACTACGTGCCGTTGGCTTTTTTTTGCTTTTAGTACACCGCTTTTTTGTTGTGTTGTATGAACTTAAATTGTACGTCCACAGGCGGATAAGCTAAATTTTTATTACTGGTAAAATATATGAAAACAGCTCTAAGCTACTTATAAATACATACTTTTTTTATTATTACTATCATCCACCTTCAGTACAGTTCAGTGAAAGATAATTGGAAGTGAAATGCCGAGAAAAATACAGGGTAAAATATCTAATTAACTTAAGTACAATTTTTATACTTTTGTGATTGTGCCCACAATATCTTTTAAGCCACTGAACCGATTTCTTCCTGTTTGGAATCGCACCAGTAAGGTATATTATTAGACTGAACATTTTAAAAACACCTGAAAAGCTTACATTTTTTTCAACTAAAAATTACGGCACTCCATATATTTTTCCAAAATAGTCCAACTAGTTTCAAAAAAAAAAATCAAAAATTAAATATTTACAATACCAGAGCTATTTGCAAAAATCCCTTGATAATTAGTTTTTCGAGGATTTTTCCAAGAACAGGTCTTAGAGGCTTATTGGTCTGTATGACACCAATTTTTCTGGAGGTTTGTCAGGTTTTAAAATTGAGATAATAACCGCTGACTTCCAGATAGAAGTCCGAAAGGCGAATGATTTTTTTTGGCGGCAAATTTTATAACAATATTATTATACTAATAAAATCGTTCCAAGTAATGTTGGCAAGCAATTACTTGGCAACCTTTATTTGATTTAATTTTGTTATTCTTACATTTTTTATGCTAACGAATGTACAAATTGTAATTGTGAAATTTGTATTTCTGTTCAATTGTGATTCTTAGTGATTCTTTGTCATTTCAAAATGAGATTTACAAAGTTGATGATCGTTGGTGGAGTTTTAGGCGGAGGCGCCTTAGTCACATATGTGGTCGTGCCGGCCGCGAAACGCTGTTGGCGCTGGTGGCGCACTGAAGTACGTATTAAATATTAATTACAATATATACTAATCGTTAAGCTGGTAAGTATCTTGGCTTTAGTGGTTCTGAGCCGGCAAGCTCCAATAAACAGTCCTGTTCGGTTGAAATTTCTTGACGGCGCGTGTACCTAATACACGGTTATCAATCAGCATAATGCTATTTCTATACATCAATTGTGCATGGATACGATTTTAGGATAAACGATGAAAAAATGGCGGCTTCCATCCGAAAATCATTGTTTGCCTTTTCTGATTCAACCACACACACACACACACACGTCAAACCGTGTAATACACGTTATGAGTACAGGGTGGGCTAGGGAAAACAATATTTATCGTGGAAAACGTAGAGTACATAATATATGCCAACCCTTAAAAGCCTCACATAACCATATGATTAAACGCCATCTTATTTTTTTAGCAAGTAACTATAATAATACATATGTTAAAAAGGGGAACGACAAAATTATGTAAGAACTTTACCACATTAACAAGTCCCTCAAGTTCTTCAAATTGATTATTTTTCTCTTCTAGTGACTAACAAATTCTGAAGCAAAAAAAAATAAGATGGCGGTCAATACAATGGCGTCGTTGTTTTCGGCCATTTGCAATTGGTTAGCGTATTCTTTAGTCTAGGTATTTTTTTCCAACATAATATTTGTAAAACTGTTTAAATATGTACACAAATTTTGTACAACAATATTTTGTATTTAATTTGCAATGTACACTGTTCAGTAACGTTTCAACTTACTTGGAATTTATTATACCGTTGAGATTTACATGATCTCTTGCCGTGGTTTCCACAGCCTTCTGTGGAATATTTTGCTTAGATCTTTCAACAAAATTAAGCGCATTTCCAATAAAATTGATTTATTGTTATCAAACGATTTTTATACAGCATCGATTTTTTTCATACGGATCTCTAAAATCTGTTTGTGGCGCAAGTAATCTAAAAACAGACAATTTACTCTATAGTTATAAAAAGAACCAATTTGTGATTTTCTTTTAATGGTGTTTGGTTAATATCTAACCAGTATGCGTGGATAATTGAGCCCAAAGTTAGTTTTTGAGAGTCTTGATATGTTTTTGACAAATCTTGATACTGTTGGTAGGATTCTAGGTAATTTTCTAGTTGTAATATTGTGTCGTTGATATTTTGTCTTTGTGAAACCAACCTTTGAATCATAAATTTCACTTATTTTTACACCTATAGTGTTTAACCAATATTCAAGTACAGTCGTAGCTTCGTCGTTTTCTTCCCATATGGTAAGCTATCTTGTCTGTAGAGATTTTATGTGTGCTATAAACTTTTTCATTTTCATATTTGGACCTACATGGGATTATATTTAATTTGAAAAACTAGTTAAATGTATACGGTTCTTTTTTAGTTTTATAAGATATCCTCTTTAATTTTGACTTCTGACTGAAAAAAACTTCAAAATATTATTATTGTATGACGTTACGGTGGCACCACATTGTATTGAATATAATATTTGTATGTGTGTATTAGTAGGGTTTTTTGAAAGCAATCCTGAGTAAGGAATTTATCGTTGTTATAAGTTTTTTGCATGCGCATCATAAGCTCCTCTCCAAGCAGCAATTCTATAAGAGAAAACTGACTGAACAATTGCACAATACATCATTCTCATGGTGGTGGTCAATAAAATATTGTTTAGAGTTTTGAAAATATAAAACATGCTTCTAACTTTTTTAATAGTAGATGCAATGTGAATATCCCATTTAAAATATCGATCAATAGTCACACCAAGGTATTTTATAGAATCAACAGATTTGATATGAATACAAAAATTGCTATTAGTATTATTTACTTTAACTCGCTGTGTGCCATTTGTTAGAAAACTTTTGTTAAGGTTATTCGCTACTCCGTGAATGCCATATGTGTCTAATTGTTTTAGTAACAAATTAGGGTCTACTGAGTCAAAGGCCTTTTTTACATCTAAAAAAATTCCAAGTACTAAGTCGTCACCCTCATCAAGTTTTTTGTAATTAGAACTTATTAGATTTTGTAACGCTTTAGAAGCACATTTATTATTTCTAAAACCAAATTGTCTTTCAAAAAAAATACACGATTTTTCCAGAACTTCATACAATCTTATTGTTATACATTTTTCTAATACTTTGGATAAAGTATAAGTCAGAAATATCGGACGATAATTAGCACAGATATTTTTATTCTCCGGTTTATAAAGTGGGATTTTAGTAGTTTCCTTAAGCACGTGTGGGAAAATTACAGAAGTGATTGATAAGTTAAATATATGTTCCAAAGGGTTTATTATGTGGTCAATAATTTTTTAGGCCATTACTATAAAATGAAGTGCTTTCCTTACGATTCGCGGATGAATATGTTCGGTTATTAAAAATGTATCCCATGATGTTGCGGAAAAGTACGCAAGCTGTTAAAATATAATACGTAAAACCTATGTGTTTTTGTGACAGTTTTTTTTCAATTTATTTGCCATAGTAATATACTACCCCCACTCCCATTCCAACCCCTACTCCCAACTCCAAATCCATTCACACCCCCACCCCAACCCAATCCCTCATAATTTATCTCTAATCTCTTATCGGTTATGTGTCCGAGCTAAGACATGAAAATGTTAGTATAATAATGTTTTTTTTCCAAAACAGTCGGCAGTGACATCGGCCTCCGCTACTGCCTCTGAAGCGGCTAAGAGTACGGCAACGCAGTCCGGGACCGCCTCTGAAGCGGCTAAGAGTACGGCAACGCAGTCCGGGACCGCCTCTGAAGCGGCTAAGAGTACGGCAACGCAGTCCGGGACCGCCTCTGACGCGGCTAAGAGTACGGCAACGCAGTCCGGTACCGCCTCTGAAGCGGCTAAGAGTACGGCAACGCAGTCCGGGACCGCCTCTGAAGCGGCTAAGAGTACGGCAACGCAGTCCGGTACCGCCTCTCAACCGGCTAACAGTACGGCAACGCAGTCCGGGACCGCCTCTCAACCGGCTAAGAGTACGGCAACGCAGTCCGGAACCGCCTCTGAAGCGGCTAAGAGTACGGCAACGCAGTCCGGTACCGCCTCTCAACCGGCTAACAGTACGGCAACGCAGTCCGGGACCGCCTCTCAACCGGCTAAGAGTACGGCAACGCAGTCCGGAACCGCCTCTGAAGCGGCTAAGAGTACGGCAACGCAGTCCGGGACCGCCTCTGAAGCGGCTAAGAGTACGGCAACGCAGTCCGGTACCGCCTGTCAACCGGCTAAGAGTACGGCAACGCAGTCCGGGACCGCCTCTGAAGCGGCTAAGAGTACGGCAACGCAGTCCGGGACCGCCTCTGAAGCGGCTAAGAGTACGGCAACGCAGTCCGGGACCGCCTCTGAAGCGGCTAAGAGTACGGCAACGCAGTCCGGAACCGCCTCTGAAGCGGCTAAGAGTACGGCAACGCAGTCCGGGACCGCCTCTGAACCTGCCTCCTCAACGGCGAGAAAGCATTACCCCGATAGGCGAAGACAGCACCAACGGCGCCGGCAAAAGGAGTCAGAGGAAAGTCCGGTAAATCATTATATTCAGGGTGTTCCAGCATGTAAGGTATGATTCGTATAGATGATTCGTCATCTGGGGGACCCCCAAATAAGCCCCCTGTTTTCTTTTTTTCGATAAGTAAAATTTTTTAAATTATTCCCTGTTATTTAGTGCAAAAAGCTTACCTTCAAAGAGGGGTCATATCATTTTCAGTCTTTATCGGCCCCAATTATTCTCTTATCACTTATCTTTTTTATTTATTTCTTACCTCTAATCTCTAATCATTTATCTCTTATCACTAATATCTTATAATTTATTTATTATCTCTTGTTTATAATTATTTACTTTTAATTGCTTATCATTTATCTCTAATCTCTCATCATTAATCTCCTATCAATTATTTTTAATAATTTATCACTTATCATTTACTTCTTATTTCTTGTCTTTAATCATTTTTCTCTTATTATTTTTTGAGTTAGGGGCCTAAAAAGACTGAAAATGATGTGACCCCTCTTTTAAGGTGAGCTTTATGCACTAAAAAACCGGGAATACATTTTTTTTTTAGTCATTATTTTTTACTTTACTGTCGAAACTTGACATTTTTTACTTATCGAAAAAGTGAAAACGGGGGGCTTATTTGGAGGTCCCCCAGATGACGAATCACCTATTACTTACTTTTCATGCTGGAACATTCTGTATATACAATATACATATACTAAAAATTGACCTCGGCCAAAGATTTTTCTTCTTTATTTATAAACCAAAAAATGTTCATAAACTGTTTTCCTTAAAAGGGAGGGGGAGACTTTTTCTTTATTTTGTATTTTTAAGTGAAGATTTTGGGGTTTAAAGTCTGAAAATTAGACCATAGGTAAATCTAAAATATACAATTATATCAACTTTTTCTTTATTTTGTTTTTTCAGCAAGAATATATGAAAAGGATAGTGGAAAGAGAGGTAAGTACCAAAAAAAAAAAATTTTCGTTTGATGAGATACTATGGGAATACGACCCTAGAATGTAAAAACTATTATTCGACTATAATGATAGATTCGTTAGGGATAAGACAATATAATCATTTTCTATTAAAATATTTGTAGTTTTTCATTTGGATACATACCTACTTTAGTTTACGTTATTTTACAATATGAGGTCGTATTCAAATATGTATCTTTCTGATTTTCTTTCAGAGCTCCATTAACTTTTAAAACTTAAATGGTAACATCTATATTTAATTATCTTTTTTAATTCGTGTAGTGCGGTAAAGTTGTAAAATATTTATTTTTCTGTCTGTCATATTTATTGATATTCAACAATTTTTTAGCAAAATTTTATAAAATATTTATATGTTACCACATGAGTTTTAATAGTTGATTACACTTTGGATAGTTGTTAAGACAAAAAATGTTTTTTAATTATCAGAGGAGACAGCATGCGTGTAGAAGGTGTCATCAATTTGGACACAACGAGACACAGTGTGCACCAAATAATTCTGCAGTATAAGAAAGAAAACTTTGTCATTAACCTTGTAACCTGTACTTTGTAAATAATTGTTGTTTTTCTTATGTCCATAGACCATATTTGTATTATACAAATATGTATACTTGCTAAAAACCTGTATAAACATATAAACATGTATTTATTGTATAATTTTAATATTTGTTGTAAATAAATTGTGTTAATATAATTTGTTTGTATTTATTTTAATACAAGGTGTCCCGACCCGGCGTTGCCCGAGATTTAGTTTGCCTAGGCTAAGTAAAATAATTACAAATAAGATTTAAAAAAAAAACAGTTCTCTAGGCTGTATATTGTAAAGCTTTAGCATACCCCGTCATAGTCATACCCCATCTCAGCTTTTTTTTTTGGTTTAACATATTTTGTCATTACATTGTATTGATTATGTGTCCCTCTTACTCAAGGGTCCCAGTCCCAGTCCCAGATCTAGTTCCAATTGGGAAAAGCATCCCTAGAATCGTGGTACATTGAATTGTCGTTCCTGAAGCTGATAATGCACTGTTCTTTCGTGCTTGCGGTGTAGATCGACTAATCGATTGACGTTAATTGATTGGCATAACATAAAATTAATCACCAACCAGCCAGAAATGAAATCAAAGATGTATGGAGACAATCAGAGCGCTATCAGAATTGTGGAAAATCGCAAAAATGCCAAATAATACCAAAGTTGACACTCCTTTGAAAAGGACTACAACTTCCTGTCCGTCTTCTCGTTCCAACAGTGTGTTCACTGTCACAGATGTGATGAAAAATTGTTATCTATAAATTATATCAATTATTCCAGAAACGAGTAAAATGCTTGGTTCTTAATAATACTTTATAGAGTATGTTGATCTCAATAAATAGCTTAAAAAATTGAAATAACAACCTTACATCTAAAGTAAAAAGTAAATAAAGTTTCAATTTTATAATCTAACTAACAAGTCAGTTTTACATTTTTCATCAGACGGGTTGATTTTAGCAGCTAAACATAGGTTTACGAAAAGTAAAAAATGCTAATTTATTAGTAAAGTAGAATCGCCTAATGAGGAGGTTAACCACGATACACTGAAAATGACTAAAGAGTTGATAACTGATCGAAATTTAATGTAACAATCTAAATAAATATGTAAATGGCGCTCCAAAAAACTAAAATTATCTTCGTCCGTCAAACCTAATAGTAATTATTTCTGTTTGTATTGTAAAAATTATACTACATTTTGTGTAAATAACTGTAAAAACGTAATGATATATGTTAAAAAAATGTAAAAGCTGGAAACGATACAGCGAATTACAAAACATGGGGCAAAACGTCCAAAACCACATGAAAAACAAAGGAACGTTTAAAGAATTCTTCTGTAATCCGAAAAATTTTAAAGCAGTACTCATATCATAGCTGCAGCTTGTTTTGCTCAAAGAGCGGGTGGAATTAGTAGTCTCATCGCATACCCAACATTATCTCTTCCTGAACCGGTATCATTTGGTCACAAATCTGATGACATAATATTATTCGCTGTACTGAAAACCGGAATTAACTTTTTCGGTTTGCCTTTAGTCGACAGAATCGGACGAATGCCTTTGCTGATGTTTTCTGAAGTGTCATTAGGCTTGGTCACTTTCATTAACGGTCACGACTCAGTACTACTGGATCCCTTACGCTTGTTTGGAATTGTTTCCAACCACGTATTTTTTGGGTGTACCAGTGGTAATTTTAGGCGAAATGCTTCCGGTGAACGTGCAATCTCAAGGCTCAGCAATCATGTCCATAATGGTAGCGTTTAGTTCATTTATCTCCAATAAAATGTTTTTGTTCATCTCGTACTGTTACGGTTTTTATGTTATGCTGTGGATTTTTTCAACCATTAACTTGGTTTGCGCATTTTTGGCTTATAAAATGGCAATTGAAACTAACGGGAAAACATTTTCAGAAATTCAAGATACGTTGGAAAACAGTTTAAATAATGACTTGGTGGTAAAACAAGAAAGCACCAATAAATAAACCCGAATTTGTAATTGTTGTACATTTGCATAATACTTGATTGTTCTATAAAACTGTGATTCATACAATTATTTATGTATAAACTACTTATAAGTTATATATATATATATATATATATATATATATAGAAACGCTTTATAATACAATTCCCGTATAAGAATATTTGTTAGGGGGAAAAATAGTTCATTTTCTACACAAGAGTATCCTTAATTTATATTATAATAATAATATAAAATCTCAGGTTTGGAGAAAACACTTTCAAGTAAAGGTTACAGGATAAACCACTATTAATTAATTGTCTTACTCGTATATAATATCTGGGCGTGGAAAGTACTGAGCGCTCCCAAATTATCAATCGTTTTTTAGTATTTTTTTACAATGGTATAAATTTTTCTAATTAAAATATACCTAATTAAAAAATAACATCTATTACTATTGTTATATTGTTTTATTTTGTTAAGTATCCACTTACATTTTCACGTTATTATATGTGTTTCATATCGAATGTATTAAACATACATTATTAAAGAAGACAGACACCCGTATAATAATATACAAAATGTAAGATGATATACAAAATAGAAATAAAACATTGAAGTCGAGTGGATATTGTATTCGCCGAGAACTAAAAACGATTTGTAGTTTTATTGTTTTTTATACAAACGAGTAAATCTAAATTTTTTAACGTCTTGTATTGCCCCGGTCGAGTGTCCGGACAGGTTTAGAGCTGATACAACAGAAGTAAATACATACATAACATTATAAGTATATATTTAGCGTATGTTTGCATTACAAAACAGCCGTCTAGAGTCGGAGGGACGGGGAGGTCACAGGTTTACAGGATTTTTTAAATCTGAAAGTGATAAAATCACTTTCGAAAAAACGCTTCGATGCAAATCGGTAGTTAGTATTTTCAAGCCAGTACAGTCCAAACCAAGCACAGTATAAACCAGAAAAGTTAGAAAGTTTTAAATTAAGGTTCTTTAATTACAAATGAGCATCAAAGCGTTAATTTGAAAGTGATTTTATCCGAGAGGACTAGTACAGTAGAGTATAGGCATAATGGAATCAAAGCAATAAGGAAACGAAGAGGTCACAGGTCTAAAGGAATTATTATAAATAAATGTGATAAAATTGAATAAAATAAATTCATAATTTATTTTATACAAATTGAATACATAATTAGTAGGTATACATTTTCAACTAAATATAGTTATTCTTGCCCTGTGATTATTACTGTAGATAAAAGTTTTTATAGATGTTTTTGTTGTCTGGAGAAAAACGATTGGGGCAAAAATATGTACATTTTTCTTCTGTGTGGATATGTATGGTTGAGTTATATTTATCCAATTCAGATATTATTCAGTTATATTATATTGTTCAATTCGTATAAATTAAAGTATTCGTTGTTCTCGATTTTTTATTATTAGGCGTCCAAGTCTATGTAAATAAAGTCTGGTTGATCTACTTAAATACAAATTTGACGTGAAGTCAACGCAATATTATCTATTTAAAAAAACGTATAATAGGTCTTAAGTCGTGAGGTGAAATGTCTTATATTATATATTATACCATAAATGTATTTATTATTATGTCTACTATTTAAAAAAAACATTTCTGGGATACAAGTTCGTAGTCGTTCATGTGCTTAATTAAAACACAATATGAATAATTAAAATAACCCATAATAGTATTTAAAATCCATATTTATAGTGTTTAAGTCAGTTTTTACACAGCCTCTTCGGCTTAGATTAAAGCTAATACATTTCGTGGTTTCGTTGTAGTGAAAACCAAGTTAGTTCAATTGATATTTGATGTCTTAAGTCTTTTATGTATAAACTGTGTTGTTAGGGTAAATAGTAGTACTCCAAGTAATAGGTATACTATATATTAAGTAGATATTAAATTTGAAATTATTTTCTTAGACTGTGTAATTTGAGCGGTTTATTTTGTTGTATAAAATTTAAAAAAAAATGATTTCTAACTGATGCTATGTTTAAAAAACTATTAGTTGACTCTTAAAATTTCTTTCTTTCTATAATTCCTTCAGATCACACCGGGGTTTTATATTATTATTATTATTTTTTTTTTTTAATTAGTAATAACCTTTTAAGCAGAGTCGTTATATTTGTATATTAGATAAAAATCAAACTACAGTCTAAAACCAGGAGGATTACTTTTTTTTAAATATTCTGTGATCCACTCATCGCACTGCACTGTACAACAATAGATAGAATGTTGTTATATACACAGTATATAACGCACATTTTCACATGAACGTGGCATTAATGAATTCATTTTATTAACATTTAAAACAGTAAATAATATTTCTATAAAGGAAAAAAACAATAATAATACAACCTAAAGTCTAGACGATTACTTAACTAGGTATCATGAGTTAACTGTTAGTCACTTCGATGGTTATTATGAAGAGTTCGATGGATATGCATAAAATGTTTGACCAAGCCGCCAAAGAAGTCAGAGATTGTTTGGAAGTCACCGTAGACGATTTGAACTAGTATATTTTATCGGTGTGATAAACTTTTGTTTTTAGTAATTTTTTGTTTATTGCAAGACTAAAACATAATATTTAAAAAATGTATATTTGTTTCACATATTACAAAATAATATAAAGGGATATGCATAGGAATATTAATTACATTTCATGAAAACTTCATGCATACTTTCAATAGGAATAAACGATTGACAATAATTTATAGGTTATTTAATTAATTTGTATAACTGCCGAAGGTTTAATAAATATAATATATGTTATAACATTTTTTTAATTTAATTTTTCCATTATACTTTGATTGTAATGCAATATACATATGTATTTATATACATATATTAAATTAATATATGACTTTATAAATTATCTGAAAAAGTACTATTTTTAAACTTGAATAATTTCGAAAGCAATTTTATAAGATAAAGTCTGTATGGAAAGTTGCGGAAATCGGTTAATTAGTATTGTCGTTTAATACTAATTAGCGGTTTTACTATTTCTTTTTCCTTCCTTCTTTAGATAGACACGAATGACTGCTACAAGTAGTCCAACCCAAGAC